GAATGTAATTTTAAAGCAATGTGATTATTTATTTGCTTTCTTACATAAGTGTTTAACAGGGAAGAAATATGTCCATTAAAGTAAGTGTAGAAAATATTTTCATGATCTGTTTTGTAAATGGTTTATACCTTCCTAGGATGCAACTAAATTGCCAATATCAGATATTTGCTGAGCAAGTTGAATGTTTAGTATTTTCTACTCTAAACTGAAAACCATTGTTCCCTCTTGCACCCTTATCTGTGTTTTCATCTTCTGCAATTTCATTTATTTGCTGTCAACATCAATAATGGTCCCAAAGCTCAAGAATATTGGTGTTGGCAATTTGAATATGCTAATTAGAAACTGTAAAGTGATGCTTAAATATATGAAGAAGTTGCTCAGCTCTACAATAAAAACAGGTTTTCTATCAATTACATAAGTTTTATTACAGTCTATATTGTTATAATTGTTCTATTTTATTATTAGTTATTATTGTTAATCTCTTATTGTGTCTAATTAAATCTATGATAATAACAAAGTTTCCTTCATATAACCATTGTTATAGTATATTGTTTTGATTGTTGTATTATTAGTTATTGTTTTTTAATTTCTTATGGTGCTTAATTTAAAAATTAAATTTTATCTTAAGTATATATAAGAAAGAATCATATAGTTTAGTATTATTCATTGGTAGGGTAGGTGTGTTCTTGGAACATTTTCTCTGGAGATAAGGGGAGACTACTGTACCTATTTCTTTGGTCACATCTCACTTTCTTTGGGGTATAATAGTCACTCTTGAACATTTTCTGAAAATTAATGGGCATAGCAAATGCTCGAGGAAGGCTGATGGTACAGTTGCTTCAAATGGTGAATAAAAATATCTATCCATTGTATAACTTTTATTACAGTATTGCATTATAATTATTCTATTTTATTAATCATGCTTTTTAATTTCCTATTGTTTCTAATTTATAAATAAAACTTTGTCATTGAGTATGTAAAGGGAAAAAAACGTGTGTGTATGTATGTGTGTATGTATATATATATATATATATATATATATATATATATATATATATATATATATATATATATAATGAAAATCTCTGACGAAGTGGAAACATTCTTTGTGCAACATCTTTTGGCCTTTAAGACTTCATCAGACTAAAGTGTTGTTTACATCAATGACAAAGACAATTTGATGAATTTTTTTTTTTAATATTCTTAGATTATTCCATTTGGTGGGAGCAAGAGAGTGTTTAAAATTGTCCATAGTGTCTATTGTCCCAAGTCCTTTTGGCCATTTCTTTAGTCATTTTGAAGGGGGTGTTAATTTATTTTCAGGCTTGTCTGTTTAAGATGTAGTTTTCTTGATGTCTAGATAATAATAGTCTTTATTCCAATAAGGAAGATTCTAGTTGATAACACTTGCATGCTACATAAGTCCCTTAACCAAAGACATCTTGCCCTTTACATAAAACATCTGTATAAATCTCACCCAATTCAGCAGCAGAAATGTTACAGCCATGAAGTCCAGAATAAACACTATTATTATTTAGACATCACAAAAATTACGTCTTAAATAAACCCTCTTGAAAATGAATAAAAAAGTGTCTGAAAGCACTTAGAACAATAGATATTACAGACAATTTTTACACACCTTTACTTACCAAATGGAAAAATGTAAGAATATTAGGAAAACGAAATAAAAAAAAAATCATCAAATTTCCCTTGTCTGTCATATTCAATGAAACCTGTTTGAAAGAAAGGTTGCTCTTCAAATATATATAGTTTTAAGATATGCTATATTTATGGGTTAAAGTGCTCAATATCAGGTATAGAGTGTAAATATAAAAGTGGACACTGAGGTCAACACCAAGTGGCAATAGTCTGTTTCATACTTGAATACAATCTTCAGGCCTGAAGATTGCTTTGAAGCATGAAATAAGCTGTTTTACATCAAAAACATGTCAAAATTGTGATTTTGGCATGTTTTCAGTGTAATATCCTAAAATAAATAATGTTGCTCAATCTTGTATTGAGCCCTCTTTTAAATTAAATGTGACAAATGTTGGAATTGTATTCTATTCTTTTTCATCTTACCAATATATATATATATATATATATATATATATATATATATATATAAAGACAAAAGGAAAACCTAGCTGATACTTCTTGTTCTTTGATGAACTTTATCAGGGCAAATGCAAAGATTTGATTTTATAACAAGTAATGTTAATTTTTCAAATTTTTTTAATTTAAGAGAGACTCATAAATATTCATCAGGTTAACTGAAAAGATTAGGTATATTTTTATTTTTGTTTATAAATACTTGTTGCAAAATAAAATCCTTACATTTGCTTTGATAAAGTTGATTAGAGGACGAGACACATCTGCTAAGATAAATTTTCCTTCTGTCTTAATTCATATTGTCCTTTTACAGATATATTTAATGTTATATCTGAAATTTTACACACACACACACACACACACACACACACATAATAATAATATTATTAATACAATAATATCAAAATCTGTTATTCAGAATTTTATGCAATAAAAATCATCAAGCAGATATGATGATTGTTATCAGATGAAACTGAGCTGTGGGTTTTGATATTTTATAAATAATCTATTATTAAGCTCTGTCGACTTTGACATTGAGCTCTCAGTATGTTTTATATTTTAAGCTTTATTTTAAATTTTAATTTTTATTCTTACTATATATATATATATATATATATATATATATATATATATATATATAATGTGTATGTTTGATATTATCTGTAGTTTGAGCATCTGCTACAGGTCTTGGAGGAATGAAGCATCTCTCTTTAGTGATGATGGAAAAATACTGTACATTATGTTACATTTTCTTCTTTTTTTTTTCTTTAAATAATACCATTGGCTATATAATTTTTTTTCAAGTTTGAAACATAAAATATAATATTTTTCTTGAAATGTCAAAATTCTATTGAAGTTTTATTAGTAATGTACCATTTGATCTTTAAAATCAGTAAAGGTGTGAAAAGTTTAGCATTTAGTTAGATCCATTGTTCATAAATTGATCCATTGAATGCTAAAATATTTGCATGTTGAGCATCCCAAATTATTTAATCAGTATAAAAAACATGCTGCTGGATAATTGTGTGAGAATATGACTGACTAAATCGATGGCAAATTTTTTTTTATTGATGACAATTTGAAAGGGACAAAACTCCTTGTACTAATTTGCTTCTATTGTATGATTTCTCTGACCTGCTTGCAAATATATTTCAGTTTATATCTAATCAAAATTACAGGTTTTATATATAATATATATGTATAAGGGTTGATCAATAAGTCTGTAGCCTGACATGTAGTTATTTTAATTTTTGTCTGGAATTTTCAATGTATAATGTTCAATCTATGTGACTAATATTCACCACAGAATTATGTGCATTGAGAAGAACATGATTATGTTGCAAACAAAATTGTTGTGTAAAATAAATGATCTTTTTATCATTATGCTATGGACTTATTGATGTATCTCTCTCTCTCTCTATCTATCTATATATATATATATATATATATATATATATATATATATATATATATATATATATAAGGTGTCCCATTGTGATGGGACATTTTTAATAAATATCTTGGATTATAAAAATGATATAGAGTACTAAATATATTTATTACATCCCTGAGATGGTCATCACCATAAAGAGAACATGCACAAATTTTCTCTCTCTTTAAGCACAGGCATTATGAGGGTCCACTGTCAGTGAAAGTGATATCAGATACCTGTAGGAAAAAGAAAAATCTTAGATGTTGAATTCTTATATATCAGTTATGTAATAAATATATTTGGTTCTCTGTCATTTTTATAATCTAAGAGACTTGCATTTAAAAAAATGTATCCCATAATTATGGGATACCCTGTGTGTGTATGTGTGTGTGTGTATATATATATATATATATATATATATATATATATACACTTCTATCTTTTATTTCTCTGATCTGCTTGCAAATATATTTCAGTTTATATATGTAATCAAGATTACAGGCAATATAATGTATATGATAGATCAATAAGTCTGTAGCCTCACACATCATTATCTGAATTCTGATCTGGAATTTTCAATGTATAATGTTCACTCTATGTGATTAATATTCACCACAGAATTATGTGCATTGTGAAGGAAGGAGATCATGTTGAAAAAACATTGTTGTTTAAAATAAATGATCTTTTCATTATTAAGCTATGGACTTATTGATGTGTATCTCTCTCTTTCTCTCAATAATTCTCTGCTTAAATTTTATTTCTCTGATCAGCTTGCTTAAGTTGAGGCTTTGTAATGCCGTTTAATGTTGTGTCTATCAAATCTTTGAAGGTGTATAGCTATGATCTGGCGGCGGGACTGTGTGCGGCAAGAGATGCATTGGTAAGCTCTGATTATAGCAAGCAAGCAGTAGTTGGCGTGGTGAGCTAGTATGTAAATCGCCTGGCTATTGCATTAGACTAATTTAGCAAGCTCGTCTTGTGTTTTTTTTATTTTTTTTTTAATTTTTTCTTTCTTTCCCTTGCTGTAAACCCCTGTCTTCTCCCATTTTTTTCTCCTATTTGTATGTGTAATTTGATTGACTACCTATCCACCAATCATATTATTGTTTGCTATACTGGTCAAATATCTCTTATCCATTTGTCACTTCTTAGTAAAGTTTTTCAGATGCTCTTAATTGGTTTTTACTATTACCATTATACCATGAACGTTGTTTTTATTTTAGCTGTTGATTGTCTTTCTTTATTCAAAGAAAACTTTGTCATGTCAGATAATATGCTTAATTACAACTATCATGAAAGTCAACCCTTTCAAAGTCAGAGAACTTAAAGCTTTTCATATTATTATCAGTTATTTTATAACAAGAAGAACTTCCAGTGATCCAAATTATAATGTTGATATTTAAGATATTTCAAAGGTAGTAGCTCTTAATGTCTTTAAATAATCTTTCTGAGGTTTATGCCCATATCACATTGAAACACTGGTTTCTGTATGATCACTGAAGTTAAGCAACGTTGAGCCTGCTCAGTACCTAAATTGGTGATCACTTAGGAATACCATGTGTTGTAAGCATGGGTATGTAGGTGGTGTAATGGATAATGGATCAGAATTTTTAATCAGACAGCTGAGTTCCAATTCCAGTTGGGTTTGTTATCTTCACTTACATGCAAATACCTTTGAGAAAGGTATGAATTCACCTCTATGGGTTAGTTAGTTAGATTTGTATCACTAAATCATTATTTCTCTTTCAAAAAAAAATTTTTACCATCTAAAAATATTTTCTGGCTTTAAATAAACCTGCAAAGGGTTGATGAGCTGTAGAAAATGAATAAATCCATTAATAATCTTTCTGAAACCAGATTTGTTTTTATGGTTTTACAGGTTATTTGATGCCAAAAAATATTTTTAGATTGTAAGATTTTTTTTTTTTCAAGATAATAATGATTTACTCACATAAGTCCTACTAATTAACCCATAGATGGAGGGAGAAGAGGTGAATTCATATCTTTCTCAAGGGTATTTGGAATTTGAACTCAGTTCTCCTATTTCCAGTTCTCAGCTGTTATCCATTACATCATCTGCACATCCAAGCTTACAGCACCTGGCATTCCCAAGCAGTCACTCATCTAGGTACTGGCCATGCTCGATGTTGCTTAACTTTGGGAATCGTACAAGAACCAATTTCAATGGGTAATGGCTGTAAGCAATTACCAGATTGATTTAAACATTCAACATAATGATTTTTGTACTTATTTACTATTAACATAATATTTACTAAGTGTGAAAAAAACAAAAAACTGAAAAAACTAGAGTTTGGAGCAGAAATAATAGGCCAGTCAGTAACAGCATAATTGGATTGCATTATGTCACAAGACCTGTGATCCATTAGAGTCATAGGGATACCAGATATACTGTAACCATAGCAATAGTGGTAGGTCTAGGGCAGGATAGCCTGATGGAGCTGATACCCTTTTAGGCTAGTTTTGAAGATATAAATATTTAATATAAAACATAATAATGATTTGTCAGTAAATTCAAGAAATATGGATTAAATCTAACAGAATGATTAAGTAAGGAACAAATAAGAAGATGCTTATAAATTTGACATGTTTCACTTTTATTTTAGCTTCATCAAAATTATTTTATAAATGTGGGGATTTGGAGAATATTTTGAATTCTATACTGTTTGTTTTTATTGATCAGATAAATCTCACATGTCACACACTATATAATCACATGAGATCTACCTGACCAATGAAAACAAACGGCATAGAATTTAAAATACTTATATTTTTATAGTAACTTACCCCTTAAATAACCAAGAGTCCTGGGTATGATAAACTATATCAGGCAGCAAAGTCTTTGATTGGGAGATTGGAATTTTGAGGAACATAAAACAACTTCTTAATCCCTATTGTACCCAGATCCACCTGATCCCAGCTATGGGCAAATAGTGAATCCTCAAAAAAAAAAAAACACTATAAAAGTATAAAAATACAACCAATACATTTTTCTATAAAAAAAATTACCAGCAATACATTTTATTTGTAGTTGAAGGCATACAATTATGTTCAAAATATATTTATAGTTAAATTACCAGTAATACATTTTATATATATATAAAATACCAACAATATCTATTTCTAGTAAAATGACCAACAATACATTTTGTAGTAGAATTACCAACAATACATTTTATCTGTAGTTGAAATTGTGTTAGCATTAAGTAACCTATAGAGGTTGATAGACAAAACAAAATCAACCAACCAACATGAAAGATCTTTTCCATGACATTAATCCATATAATATCCTAGAATTTCTTAAAGAAATCAAACTGTATTCCAAAATATAACTTCAACAAAGGTACAACATAAACCACACATATCACTGTCTCTAGTAATTATGTCCACACAAATATGTATATGCACAAAAGCTGAGTATCATCTACCATGTATTCAGTTGTGAAAGCAGAATAACGTATTTATATTACTTAATTTATTAAAATTAAATTTCAGCATTAAATGATCCATATAGGAGTTGATATACCATTAAACAATCAAATTAAATAACCAAGAAGGGTTATATGCACAGGAAAAAAAAAACCCTCTTGTATAAAGATGTTATCTATAGCATTATTTTCTATGTAGCATTATTGGTATCTCTGCCTCACTCTGTACAAATTGTAAACGCTTTTAGAATATATTAGGATTTGTGGTTACTGTAACACTTCATAGCATGGCCATTGGAATTGGTGAGCATCCTAGCAGATTCCATTCACTTCACACTAATACCCTTGGGAAAAGGCATGAATTGATTTCTTCTCTTTTTCAGCTATAGGTTAAATATTAGGGGAGGATGGCCTTGGGTGGAAACCAGTCTATGAGATGTTAGAATTTAAAGAAAAACAAAATATGTGGAGAAGGCAATGAGGAATCACTCCACCATATATTTATATTATTTACACTTGGACTATTGTCCTCATCTTTGTTGTTATTGTCTCGGCGCTTCAGCAGTTGTGCCCTCTAACCTACATCAGTTGTTTGACAACGTACAACAAAGATGAGCCCAATAGTCTGAGTGAAATGATAATTCCTCATTCTAGCAATTCAAACAGAAGTCATGGCAGTTCATGGATAATAAAGAATCTGAAAAACAATGATTGCATACCTTCTGAATGGATATGGTATTTAAAGGAAAATTTGATTAACTCTAATTTAATAACTTAGCTATCTTTTAGAATTTATTTTCGTCAATGAATGTAATAATTGACTAAGTAGTTGTATTTTTCTTTTAATCATTCCACCCCAAATAAGGCAATAAAAGTCACTAAGATGCAAGAGGTTACTGAGTGAGAGAATATCAGGAAAAAATAACACTAGGAGAGAACAATAAAGGAACAGGAATTATGAAAAAGGAAGATAACGATTGGCATTGCATTTAAATTTTTGAAGATTAGAGTTGACTAGAATGCAAGAAGCTGGAAGAGAGTTCTGGAAGTGAGAAGTGCAGGAAAAGAAACTGTTAGCATCATAAAACTTACGGTTACATCTAGCAGCCATTTCAACAGTAAAATGATGAGACCTTGCTGCCAATCCAGTACTGAGCTTAAATTAATAAAGTCCAAGTACCATAAAGTTCATCAGAAAAATTACCATGAAAATTTTTATAAAAACAGTAACAGTGTAACTATGTTATGGCAGTGGGAAAGGGACTGAACCCAAGATGACGGATACATAATGTCATTGCAGATTCTTTTTTGTATTTTATCTAGAATCTCCAAATACATAGCAGAAGCACCAGACAGAATATGGCAGCAATGTTCAATGCATGGACAAATGGTAGCCTTAAAAATGAGTGAGATAAATTGTCTAGCATAACACAGTGAACCAACTTTCTTAGCAGCTGACATAGGAATTGTTTTCTAAATCATGTTGATTGCCTATTTCCATAGAGGATTCACTCTCTTGTGCAGCCATCAAGTTCATCCAGTGTAGCTTTGTATTCATTATCAAAAATTACTGTTGGGAACTCAGTTTTTTTGTACTACTTTACCATAAAAGTATTTATAGAAAAGGCACAGGGAAGCTATGCTATGCTAGTGGGAATGTGACTGAAGCCAAAATGCCAGGGCAGGAACAATAACATTGCTGGTCCTTCTTTGAATTTTATCAAGAATCTCTAAATACATAGCATATAAAATGGCTTCATGCTAAACTAAGCAAAGCTTAACAAATCTAAAAAAAAATTAAGTTGGATTTAATATTGAGTTGCCTTTCTCTCTTTAGCTCCAGATTGTATCCTCAAAGTTTACTCCTGAAACCTTTTCCATGATTGGGTGTGGCAAGGGAGCAGGGGTTTGATGTCAGAGTTTTGCTTCTCTTTAAGATTTATATGAAATGTCTATCATCTTAAAATTAAACAGGAAATACCAAATGATAAGCAACTGAAAAGGTTAAGATGGTTTCTACACCTGTTTATACAGACTAATTTTAAACACTTGAAATCAGATGAGGTCTTTGTATGAAAATTATTGGATCAATGATTCATGTCTAATTATTATTTATGGCCACATAACGTACCCTCACCAAAGTTAATGTTGAGCCTGGTCACTACCCAGATGGGTAACTACTTGAGAATGCCACATGCTGTAATCTAAAATGGGCAGGTTGTGTAATGATAATTGGACAGCTAAGTTCCAATTCCCATATGGTTTGTTATATTCACTTACATGCAAATACCCTTGGGAAAGGTATGCATCTTTCTCTTCTCCCTCCAGCTATGGGTTAATTAGTAAATCTTGTATCACTAAATCATTATCTCTAAAAATAAAATATTTTCTGGCTTTAAATAATCTGCAAAGTGTTGATAAGCTATAGAAAGCGAATCAATATATAATTATTCTTATTGATTCTTATAAAATTATACAACAATATTTGTATTTGTAAGCCTTCTCATCTTTGTAATATCTCATGAAAAACACAAAAAGAATTTCTGAGATATTGTCTAAGAGAAACCAAAAATCTTGTACAAAAATCAATACTGGCTTTAGTCAACAACTTTCTAAATGTAACAATGAGCTATTGTATTAAAGTGACTTTCCATTATCCTATTTCCACTGTATTTTGTAATTTTTGCCACCCCCCACAAAAAATGGCTACCCTTTTTTATTTTTTTGCTAAATAGTTGACAGATACATGGTATCTACTTCAGAAATCCTAGATCTGATAATTTCTTCTAATTCTGTTTTAGCAAGTAATTTTTTCTTTTAGACTGGTTGCCAACCAAGGCTAGAGAACAGTCTGCCTTGGTATTTTTGCCATAGATGGGGAGTGGGAGAAGAGATGGATTCATACCTTTGACAAGGCCATTAGTGTGTCTCAGTTTGATGATTGAATTTGCAGTTTGTCTATGTGTCTACTCACCTCCCCCGTCCATATTTGAAAAAGATGCCTGAATATAAAAACGGTTCTTTTTCATCAACAAATAATTGCCATTAGCAAAGTAGTAGAAATAATTGTCTGTGGATCTTAGAAAGAGTCTCTTCATTTGTTATTCCGAATTGAATCTAGC